CCACACGAGACGCACCTCGCAGCAGGCGTCGCCGATTCCGAAACATGGCAATCACCATGTGCCTTTGTACCTCGCTGGTGCTTCCTTAATGCCAGACGCGCAAGATGCACGATGCACCTGCGCGACGGCAACAGACGACAATTCCACAGACTGGACCAGACTCGATTGAGGTGGATGTGAGGTGTCTTGTTCTCTAACAGGCCCCCTGGCCATCCACACCACCCGCCGCCGTGCCGCCCTTCTGCTGCATCTGCATTGGATCCAGATCCTGGCGCACATCACCGAGTCGTCTCAACATGTCGCCCTCCAATTGCCTTGGTGGTGCTCTTTCAGCTGGCAGCATGGACCAAAAGGGGATCAATGGGAGTGCGCCAAGCACCAGGACCTAATTCTTCATTGGCATTGGACCTCGAGAGACAAGACGACCCGGACAGACACCTCCGAATGGAGACGGCCGAAAGGCAGCTCAACTCTCTCTTTGCCTAGGTACTTCCAGTAGAAAGGGGTCCCAAGGTTTGGAAAGATGAGGCCGTTGGAATTGGAAGCTTCCCTCGAGCCAAACTCTGTCCGGTGGCCTGATGTCTGCAGTGCGACAGGAATTCATCACGAGGGAGGTTGGGAAACGGTTGTCTGAGAAGCAAAAGCAACCGTCCGAGCGCAATGAAATTGGCACATCGGCAGATGCACCAGCGAAGGGATCGGTGCTACGGGTTAGCAGCAGAAATCTAGATCACGTTTCGATTACGGGCTTCTCGCAAGCAGCGGCGCCTACCTGAGCGTCTACCCCTAGCGCTTTCGAACAGGGTGAGCTGTGAATTGTGAGCTGTGAGCTGTCGACGACGACGATGTCAGCACGTCGCGGCGATGCGTGCGAAGTCGTTGCTGCGATGCGGGCGGTGGGACCACTAGGGAAATGGGTGCGAATCTCCCCAACTTGCTGCACCGGCGCTAAGATAGTGGACGAGAAATGCCAGTGCAATGCCAGCTGGAACAGACCAGTGTCAACCCCAGGCGGCGAGTGGCAGGAGCTAAGGCACAACAAGCAAGCAAACAGGGCAGGTGCGGTCCAGCTGTGATGCTCCTGCCCGGCCTGCACATCGTCGTCTGAATTTTTTTTATGTGGTGCACTGGCGCGGAAGGTACCGCTGCACAGGTACCTGCCAATTCAACCGATGACGTACTGCATCAACATTCCCTACCCCCTTCCTTCTTCACCAACGTCACCGTCGCAGTTACACCACCAGGAAGGAGGCAGGCAGGCAAGGCAGGAAACGAACAGACACTCACACACCGGATGAATTGACTGGACTGGCTGGGACTGGGACGTGGACCGGGCAGGACGGGCCCATCCAGATCCAGATCCAGCCCCCAATTGCCCCCCGTCCACTGTGATGGATAGACACTGGCACTGACACTGACACACGCACACATTCGAAGGGAAGGGGCAGCGAGGACAGCAGACAGGACCAAGCTCCGAATGGCAATCGGTGATGCACCTGCACTGGTCACTTCTAGGCCTTACCTAACCAGGACCTGGGGGGCCCCCTTTCCTTCCAAATTTGCTGCGAAACCGTCCCGTCTGCTGCCACGCGCCTTCGTCTCGCCTCGCCTCGCCTGGCCTCCCTGCCAATTGCTAGCTCCAAATTCGCTTCTGACGCAAATGAGCCTGCTTTGCGCCTGGGCACGCAACCTGCTCCAACCCAATCCAAACCTATAAACACCTCCCGTCACTCAACCTCCCATCAGTTACTTTCTCTTCCCTTTGATTTTCTCTCCCTCTCATCAATACCTGTCGCTGTTTTTTTCCTTTGGTACAGGAACATCAGCCTCACGATTCCAATTATACCCAACCACTTTGTGATACCCCATCCCCCCCTCAAACGACAACAATACCACAACAAACACGCCGCTCTTGTTCCTCCTTTTTTGAACCTATTACCATACCAATAATTATTATACCCCGAAGGCCTCCGAGCCAGTTTTTTGCGATAGCTACGATACCCAATCATGTCAGCAAACGTTAACAAACCGACCGACCTCAAGCAGAAGGAGGCCGATGTCAACCGCAAGCTTCAGCTCTACGGCATCGTCTCCGCTTTCCAGGCTGGCAAGGTTCCCTCGGTACGTCACTGCCGGCATCTCTTGGCCCACGCGTCTCCGCTGGGCTGATCCCTGGCCCCCAACCTTGTTTTGCACCCTGCAGAGTTGCATGACACTGACGTGATCCCCGCGACAGAATGACCAAATCGATGTTGCTCTCAATAGCTTCCTGGCCTCCAAGGCCCTGTCTAGCCCTTCCGAGAAGCTTTCCCCCGAGGGCAAGGCGCTAATTGCCGACACGCGCGATGTCATCCAGCAAGCCAAGTACCTTTTGCTGTCCAAGAACCAGGGCAACCTGCTCCAAGACTTCATTTGGCAGACTCAAGAATTCGACCCCAAGGCTGTCGATGTTCCCGGTGCCCCTGTCAACAAGGAGGTGGCTCAGCAGCATGGCGACAAGGCCGTCCAGGGTCTGCGCACCCTCGGCACCCTGTTGATCACCAACGGTCAATTCCGCAAGCTGCGTATGTTCTATTATCCTTGCCATCGCACAAGCCTATGCTAATTGTCCACAGTCAAGGATGCCAGTGTCCTCCTTCGCGACATGGCTGGTGATGCCGCCACCGAAGCCGCCCAGCGTGTCCGGCCTTCGGGTGAGGCCTTGGAACAGATGGATCGTCCCGCCGAGGACAACACATGGCACGATGCCCCCGACTTCTCCAAGGACAACTTCAAGAAGCAGGCTCAGGGTATCTACAAGGGCTCGCCCGCTGATGATGCTCGCGAAATCATCAACGCCGGCACGCAGTCGGCTCATCCTCAGGGCTCCCAGAACCCCCAGGACCTGGCCGCTACCGCTGCCCGTGACCAGGCGCAGGGCACCAACTCGGGTGTCAATGCCCAGGGCGGTATCAACGCTGCTCGTGACGTCCTCCAGAAGAAGTACGATGAGAACGTGGATGAGGAGACCAAGGAGAAGGCTCGCCAGCGCAACGAGGAATACAAGCGCCGCACCAAGGATTACTTCAACAAGAAGATGCCCCAGGAGCGCAAGGATCAGACCATCTGGCGCCTGAAGAAGATGGTGCTCGAATGCCAGCAGCACCCCGACTACTCTCAGGCCATCGAGACCCTCCTTAACCTCGCCGAGGAGTATGCCGGACACTCGCGATCACTTGCACAGGGCGGAAGTGGTACTGTCAAGGACGCCCGTGCTGGTCTCGCCCAGGCCGAGGCTGACCTCAAGACTCTCATTGAGCGTTTCGCCAACGGCACCTCTACTGATGACCTCTTCGAGTCCATCAACCAGATTTACCGCGATGCCGACCAGGATCGTGAGCTGAAGGACTGGTTCAAGGCCATGGACCGTTACGTCCGTCGCTGCCTTCTGGAGCAGGGCTACATCCTGGACGACGATTCCAACCAGGAGTGGAACCATTTGTACGACCATGGTCGCTACCTCCTGCGCGACAAGTACCGCGCTCACACCGACCGCGTTCTGGATGAGATCAAGTTTTTGGCCGACCAGTTCGACCAGGATCCCCAGAACAAGCGCTTCGCCGACTCCGTTCAGAAGCTCTTCACTGATCTGGGCAACGATGAGAACGGCAAGCCTACCTTCAAGCCTCACCTTCTCAAGGATCTGTCTGAGGTCATCATCCCCTCCCTGTTCGAGAACGTCGCCTACATCCCCGTTCCCCGCATCGAGTACAGCGACCCTCAGTTCGACGCCGTCATCGAGAATCTTGTCCTCGAGTCCGACAACTTCATGCCCAACGTCTTGGAGATTAACAGCGAGAACTACTTCCTCTGGGGCCGAAAGAAGATTGCCAACAAGCACAAGCAGTCCTTTGAAGTGAAGGTTGCTGGCATTCAGCTTGATCTTCGCGATGTCGCCTACCACGTTAAGCGCAAGCAGGGATTCCCCTCCATTACCGACACTGGTGTTGCAGACATCCTTCTCGCCGGCGATGGCTTCTCCTTCAAGATGAAGCTGTCCTCTGCCGACAAGAAGGACAAGCAGAACTTCTTCAAGATTGACAAGGTCGATGTGGATATCAAGCACATGAGCATCAAGCTGAAGAAGTCCAACCACAAGCTTCTCTTCAGCATCGTCAAGCCCATCATGCTGAAGGTCCTTCGCCCTGCGCTGCAGAAGGCTGTCGAGCAGGCCATCAAGGACCAGGCCACCCAATTGGATGCTCTTCTCTTCCAGGTCAAGCAGGAGGCTGATCGCGCTCTGGACGAGGCTCGCTCCGACCCCGAGAGAACCCCCAACATCTACAACCGCTACGTCACCGCCATCCAGAAGCGCACCCTCCAGGGCAAGCAGAAGGCCGAGGAGGCTGTCGCAGACAAGAAGGTCAACGTCGCCATCACCAAGGAGGAGTCCATCTTCCCCAACATCAACCTTCCTGGAGGCATCAGCACCAAGGCTACCGAGTACAAGGAGCTTGCTCGCAAGGGAGAGCGTTGGGAGAGCCCCGTCTTCTCTATCGGCAAGGCCAACAAGTCTACCGACATCCCCGAGGCCCCTCGCGTCGAGCGCAAGAAGCACGGCCTACCCTCTCAGAACGGTGCTGTCAACGGCAACCTTGGCGGCGACCTGAACGGTACCGTGCACACCCTCGGCAGCCACAACCCTGCCGTCGTTAGTGGCTACTAGAGGGACTGAGATAGACCTTTTTCTTTTGTCATGGAGATTGCATCATGAGTAACGGCAAACGAAAAGGCTTATACCCGGATGAGAAGGGAGGTGGTACGATGAGAGCTAATGACGTGTTTCCTTGGTAATAATTATGTAGTATCAGAATTCACTTGTTCCTTCACTCAAACTCACCAAGCTGTTACTGTGAATGAGTGACATATTGTCATGACCTGGATCGAGCGTACGCGGTGGTATTTGACATGTTTTCTCACATCTTCTCTTGGACGTACACAAATACATGAAGTGGCGCACATCATACCGTCGTCCATCCCATGTCAGTCGGCACCAATGCGCCATTGATGGTATTCATCCCATCTGAACACAAAACCAGCACGGTCTTGGCGACCTGTTCCAATGGCGACCATCCAAAGTTCCATCCTTGCTTCGCAGGGTCACCATGGACCGTGTTGAACGTCGACACAACTTTGGCATTGTTAGCGTCTTACTCTCATTCCCTCAACTCATCTTCAGACGAGAGTCAAGGTACATACCGACAGCCAAGCCTTCCTTGTGGAAGTCGGCAATGTGGTTCTCGTTGCGCGCCATGTTGGTCTGCATGGGGCCGGGCATGATGGCGAGGCATCGGATGCCTTTGGGGCCGTAGAAGGCTGCGGTGCTGCGGGTGAGGCCTACGGTTCCGTGTTTGGAGGCTGTGTATGCGACGCCTTTTTGCGTTGTTAGTGTTTATGAGTTTTATCCCTTGTTGTTTCTCGTCTTTTTTTCATGATAACTTGGGATTTGTTTGGATGCAGGGGTTGAGACGTACCTGCTCTCGCGCCGTTGAGACCCGCGGCGCTGATGACATTCAAAATCACGCCCCTCTGCCCGCCCTCGCGCGCGTCCTGCTTGAGGAACTGCTGGATCGCCGCTTGGGACGTGATGAAGGGTCCCGTCATGTTGACGAGGATGTTCTTGTCCCACATGACCATGTCGCAGTCGCCGGTGGGGTGCATCTTGTCGGAGATGCCGGCGTTGTTGACGAGCACGTCCAGGCGGCGGGAGGGGTCCGCGGAGAGGTAGGTGGAGAAGGCCTCGGCGACGGAGGCCGGGGAGGTGACGTCGCATTTGATGGGGTGCACGCGGGCGCGGTGGGCTTCGGGGACGGCGGCGGGGAGGGAGGCGAGGGCGGCCGGGGAGATGTCGAGGGCGAGGACGGTGGCGTTGGCGGCGAGGAAGGCGTTTGTGAGGGCGAGGCCGAGGCCGGCGGCCCCGCCTGTTATGGCGACTGTTTTGGAGGTGTAGTCTACGGACATTGTGTTGTTGGCTGGATTGAGGGTGAGGGTGAAGTCGGCCGGGGGGTTGTTGGTGTGGTTGAAGTTGTGGGTGGTGGTTGTGGAATGAGATGAGATGAGATGAAAGCTAACTAGGAGTGAGACCGAAGTGAAAGACGTGAGATATATATGAGTTTTCTAAAGACCGTGTATAAAAGCAAGCACTGAAGATGAGTGAAGTCTGAGAGAATGTCGCCGGTTGTCGCAAGCCGAAAGCGAAAGCGAGAGCGACGACGATAAAGCGAAAGGGGGGGGATAGATCCGACGTCCCGCTGCGGGCTGTTCCTTCAAACCCCAGATTTCCCCCGCATTATTAGCTTCAGGGACGATTTGGAGATGCAGCGGGAAAGAGGGGACTGTTGCATCGTCATACACGGCGTATACGTGCTTGGCAAACATGGCATTGTTGTTTAATGTTGAAGAGCTAAGGAGCCGCGAAGCGAGAACGACCCCGAGATCTTGGGTGGGGACCCCGCGGGACGCACGGATGACATCCGACAAAGACTCCAACTCAGATGAACATGGTATCTACATTCTGTTGGATATCTAGCCTACAGGCATCCCTCTCCCCTTGCCCCTCCTCCTCCCTCTCCTCCATCTACCGAGCTCGGTCGCTGGCATCGCTCCTCAGGCCGGCGAGCCGCGTCCTCCATGGTTAGGATGGCGGCCCGTGGTGGCCTCGAGGTCTTTCTCGGCACCTTCCTTTCCGCTCAGAGGGCCTGATAGGAGGGGTCCTCCGCCGGAGCGGGTTGAGGAGTCTGCGAGGGTGGCTGCGCGGTCCGGGGAGCCGATGAGGAATGTGAAGAAGGCCCCGAGGGTGATGGCCACGCCGGTGATTGCGTAGACTGTGCCTCTAAAAGTGCGGCGGGCGTGTCAATTGGTGTCGGGCGGGGCCGAGGATGGAAGAGGCACGGGAGGGGAAGGGGGAGAAAGGTTCTGCGACTTACCGGTTCTTGACCTCGTCCGGACGGGTGGGGACTTTTTGTTCGGCCGACCCGGCCGGGGGAGGCTGGTCCCCGCCGTGATATGTCCGGGTGTCCCGTGGGGGCTCGTGGGCTGCATATGTTCGCCGGGGCGCGTACTGGACGGGTCCAGGGATGCGCTGCCGCAAGGCGGACTGGAGTCTTGAAGATCGTAGGGCTGACATTGTTGGGCTGGTCTCGACTACGGGGAGGAAGGGGGCAAAAAAGAATTGTGCGGTAATTCACAAAGTGTGTAAACGCTCCGATACGTCCGTTTTTAACTTCCTGCGCTTCTTCCGACTGCCCTAGCAATCCGTTTCACGATTACCGTTTAGTGATGTGTTGCTGATGAAGCTGTTCGAAAGGGGGGGCCGATGACAAGATGATGATGCATATTGAAGTGGAGAAGCGGAGTGTCAGTCCTGCTCATGGTCCGGTCGCTTTCCCAACCTGCCCAGAACTTACCCTCATTTCAAAGTCGGATGCAGATGACTGATCCCCGAATCTTATTAGCCTTGACCACCTATGCGAACTCCATGAGACGGGCCTGATTGATTCGGACAACCGCAGACCCAGCTGTTCGCCTCATTTGATTATGGTAACCGCCCTGAAGACTGGCACCGGTCTTTTTCAACGTATGGGCTCTGTGAGTCCAGTCACAGAAACTACGCAATTGATACATCCTCTTGAATCCTTCATCTTTTTCTGCCGCTTTTCTTTTCCACCCTCTCTCCGGTGCATCACCTGTTCCGCAGCGCCGCGTGGATCCCGTTGTACGTCCAGTTCAGCCTCATCCTGTCCAGCTGCGCCTGCGCCGACATGTCCGTCACGTGTCTCGAGTTCTGCTGCACCTGCGACGCCCGCGGCCGCCTCACCGAATCCCAGGTCTGCAGAGCGCCGAACACGTTGTTCGCGTCCACGTTGTCGTGCAGGAGCAGCCGCAGGCCCTCGGCGTCCTCAATGGCCTGCGTCGCGCCCTGGCCTTGGAACGGCGTCATGGGGTGCGCTGCGTCGCCGATGATGACGGCGCGGCCGCCGACGTAGTGCGTTAGCGGGTTGGCGTCTTTGACTTTGTATAGTCTCACGTCGTCGACGGTCCTTTCTCGGTCTTCAGTCACGCTCCGGTTTTCATGAGTTGGGGGAGTGACTCACCGCATGAGGTTCAGCATCCATGGCGCAAAGTCTCGGAAGTTGTCTAGCAGCTCGTCACGGTTGCCCTCGGCGCTCCAGGACGTCTCGCTCTCCTGGGATAGCATCGAGTCCGGCACTCGCGCGACGACGTTGAGCATTGTGTTGTTCCGGCACGGGTAGAAGATGATGTTGCGGTGTAGATCGTCGTCGGCGGTCATGAGGTTGAGAAACCCGCCAGTCCGCGGGTCGATCGCTTCCGGCAAGCCGTCGAGCGTCTCCTTCGCTTTGTCCAGGGGATACACGAATCGGTAAAGCGACGCGCCGCTGGACACCATCTCCGGCTCGGTGCCGAGAATCGCCTCGCGCACGATGGAGTGAATCCCATCAGCCCCTGCAAACTCATCAACATCTCACCTCCTTTCATCAACTGCAGCGTAGATAATCTCACCAACAATAACATCAGCCTCCACAACCTCCCCGCCGCCCAACGTCACCCTCCCATGCTCCACATCCACCTCCGTCACCTGCACCCCCTTTACCACCCTCGCCGGCGGCCCCGAGATGCCCAGCTTCGCCGCGTCCCCCGTCGCCAGCCTTTCCAGCTCATCTTTCAGGTCCTGCCGGTGCATCAGCAGCCACTCGCTGCCGAACGGCTCCGTCACGCCCGTGATCTCGCGCAGCAGGTTGCCCTCTTTGTCGTACGTGCGCGTGCCCTCGCACACGGTCGCCTTCACGGCATCCGCGCGGAATTGGAACGCCTTCTTGAGCATCTTGCTGCCGTTGGGCCCGAGCCCGATGCCGGCGCCGCGCTCGGGGGCGTCGGGCGCGTTGAGGTCGTAGACGACCACGTCGTGCTTCTGGCGCAGGACGGCCGCGGCGGCGAGGCCGGCGATGCCGCCGCCGACGACGGCGATGCGGAGCTTGGTCCCGTTGGTGGTGGTGCTCATCTTTCTGAAAGGGGATTCGGCTACGGCGGAGTTTTGGTGTTCAATCCAGCGTCAGGTGCGTAGTCGCTGCCGTCAAGCCCTTCGCTTGCGTCGGCTGGAGATGAGAGAAAGGCTGAGTGTTTGATGAGATGTAGTTAGAATCGGCTATGGCGGCTGCCTCCCCATGGTGAGGAGTCCCCCGCATAACTGGGAGAATTGGTATTTGTGGTGCGACATCAAACGAAATTCTAAACATAGACGGGTGCGGTTTACGCTGATGTCCCGCAAAGCTTAAAACCTAAAACTGGCTGCTTGTTTGGCGGAATTGACCAATGAAGCATCCCATATGCGACGGGACATTCATGCGTGAGGGTATGGGACGGGGATGGGCTGGGTTTTGGTCCAAACATTTGGTGATGTCAACGAGTCCGAGCGGTTGGCGGGCCGGGTCTCGTGGTGATGGCTTCCGGGGCCGGGGACATGCTTCCTGTGACCCGCTCCGATGAAGTCCGCACGAGATCGGAAGGGATCCGCTTTTTCGATCATGGTCCGGTGAGATTGTGAAGAGTCAGCATGATTTGGTCAGCCACAGCTCGTTCCAGTGTTTTCGTTTCCATTCTTGACTAAGGTATCCATGGCGTCGGGATAACTTTGTGGCTGCATATGCAGCAGCGGCATTCCCGCGCGAGAAACCCGCATCGGAAGCGCCCCGCAGCTCGGCCGCCGTCGGACGCCGGGCGGTGCAGGCCCGCAGATAAGACACGAGCAACTTAATCAGACCACGCTCCGCTCCGCTCCGCAAGCCCACCCGGGACAATTGCACGCCGAGATTGGTAAGGCCGTATCGTATCGGCGCCATCTGGTTCGACGCCACCGAGAGGCGCTGGTCCGAGACATTGTCGCGTCATCAGGCTTTCTTTATCAAGTGTTGCTAGCGCAACTCCGAGGTTAATTCCAGCATTCCATCGGAGCCCTTCTCTCATCACACGCGACCATTCAGACCTCATTGTTTCTTCTCATCACACAATCGATTCATCCTCCTGCCATTGTTTCGTGTGACCTAGGCACTACTCTCACTCCTAGCCATGTCGAGAGCTTTGTTGATCTGCGGTGCCACCGGCAAGCAGGGCGGCGCCGTGATCGACCACCTCCTCCGGCAAAAGGCCGACTTTGAGATCCTCGCCGTGACGCGGTACGCCGAGTCGGTATCGGCGCAGCGGCTGCTGAAGAAGTCGAAGCAGATCAGGATCGTGCAGGGCAACATGGCCGACCCGACCGCGCTCTTCAAGGCGGCGCGGGAGGCCACGACGAACCCCATCTGGGGCGTCTTCAGTGTCCAGGTAGGCGGAACATCTCCGCATCTGATGATGTTTCACTGACCGGCTCTAGACCCCGATGGGCATGGACCAAGGCGGCGGCGGCGAGCTCGGGCAGGGCAAGGCCCTCGTGGACGCCGCCCTCGCTAACAACGTCTCCTTCTTCGTCTACGCCTCCGTCGACCGGCACGGCGAGGACTCGCTCACCAGCCCGACCAACATCCCGCACTTCATCCACAAGCACCAGATCGAGCAGCACCTCATCGCCAAGTCCAAGGGCTCCAACATGGAGTGGGCGATTCTGCGCCCCGTCGCCTTCATGGACAACTTCACGGACAACTTCCCCGGCCGCGTCTTCGTCACCGCGTGGCAGATGGCGCTGCGCGGCAAGCCGCTTCAGCTGATCGCGACGACGGACATTGGCTTCTTTGGCGCGCAGGCGTTTATGAAGCCGGAGGAGTACAAGGGGCGGGGCATCTCGCTGGCGGGGGACGAGCTGACGTTTGAGCAGATGGTGGGCGTGTTTGAGCGGACCACGGGCAGGCGGCCGGCGGGGAGCTGGAAGGTGCTGACGTGGCTGTTCATGACGCTCGTGAAGGACTTTGGGTTGATGTTCAAGTGGTTTCACGACGTGGGGTACGCGGCTGATATTCCGAAGTTGAAGAAGGAGTATGCGGGGCTAAAGGATCTGGAGACGTGGTTGAGGACGGAGAGCGAGTTCAAAAAGTATATCAAATGAGGCGGTGATGGTTTCGGTGGGGCTATTTTCTACTTTCTGTTACCATTTCTATCGGGCCCAAGGTTAATAGTTCAAGACATTCATCGTATTTCAGTTTTCATCATCTGTGAAAGTCATGCTGTTGGGCGACTGTCATGGCGAACACTTTCCTAGCTTTACCTGCCTGCTTTGATCACTAAATCTGCGAGATGACAATGTACTCTGAATGTTCTCCATTCCGCATTGAAGATGAATGGGATTGAATCATTTCATAATGAGTTCTGTAAGACAAACCCTGAATTTCAAATTATGCACAGACGTCCGGTACGCTGTCCACCCGTCGCCGTCGAAGATACGGAGCTGGGTGGGTCCAAGCCGGCGGCACCTTGGCGACATCGGCCTCCGATGAACACCGACATCGACTTATCGGCCCGCCCGGTCTCAGACTAACGTACCTGACTCTTAAGCTATGGGTGGCAATGTCAAACTCCGCAAAAACGCCGCCAAGATTCTCGCGGCTCCACTGCGCCTATGACAACGCATGTTGGCCCGTCCAATTTCTACAGACATCATTCCATCCACCGGAGGTCTTGACTCGGGTGTCCTCCACTTCGATGAGTTTCTAATGGTCCGCAAACGTGTTTACGTGACGCCGGCTGTCTGTTGCCTGGGCCTAGAGACGTCTCGTACGCGAAGTGATGTATTTCTCAAGTCATGCAATAGGTATATAAAACGAGCCGGTGCTGGTCCTCCTGCTACTCCTACCCATCTCACTATACCATCACCAACATCAATCCCAACCACATACACCAACCGAAACACCACTCGCCATGTCGAAGCTTCTCACTGTTTTCGGAGCCACTGGAAACCAGGGCGGTTCCGTCATCAAGGCAGTCCTCGCAGACCCCGTTCTCTCCAAAGAATTCAAAATCAGGGGCATTACCCGCAATGTTTCCAAGCCCGCCGCGCAAGCTTTGGCTGCCAATGGCGTTGAAGTCGTCGCTGTAAGCCATCCTCCCCGAAATCATTCCCGACTCGTTCGTTGACAGCATTCCAGGCCGATATGACCTCCAAGGCGTCCCTCGCCGACGCCATCAAGGGCTCCGACTCCGTCTTCCTCGTCACCACGCCCGACTTCATGTCTGGCGGCGGCACCCAGGAGCAGCTCCACGGCAAGAACGTCGCCGACGTCGCTGCGGAGGCCGAGGTCAAGCATCTGATCTACTCGTCGCTCCTCCACGTCACGGACACGACCAATGGCCGCCTCAAGCACGTCGTCCACTTTGACGACAAGGCCGAGGTTGAGCGCTACATCCGCGCCAAGGGCATTCCGAGCACCTTTGTTCTGCCAGGATACTTTATGAGCAACTTTACGGCGCTGCAGATGATCCGCAAGGGCGAGGATGGGGTGTACAGCTTGACGTACCCTGTTGGTGATGGGGCCAAGTTCCCGCTCATTGATACTGAGTCCGACATTGGTAAGCTGTTGCTCTCACATCGACTTGATTGTTTTGAAGTAGAAACTGACGAGTGATGAATGTTTCAGGCAAGTTCGTCGTCGCCGCTATGCGCAACAGCGACTCAGTCCTCGGGAAGCAGATTTTTGCGGCGGCGGACTACTACACCCCGTCGCGCATCGTCTCCGACTTCCAGGAGGTTACCGGCAAGACGGCTCGCTTCGTCCAGATTGATGCGGAGACGTACAAGGGATTCTTCCCTGCTCCCATGGCCGACGAGATGTTGGAGAACCATTTGTTCATTGGGGAGCCCGGATACTACGCTGGCAAGGACCTGAAGGAGAGCCTGGATCTGGTCAGTGGTGTTGGGCTGAAGCCTACGTCCTGGAAGGAGTTCTTGGAGGCAAACAAGGCCGCTTTCCAGTAGACACAATGGCCTTTACCCATACAAATTTTTGATAACAAAGAATCTCAAAATAACGAAATACAGTTCATTGATAGGAGGCCTCCCTTCTTCGTAGTCTTCCTTTACTTCTCCCAGCCATCAGACGTTGGAAAGCCTCCCGCAGCCACTGCCACCCCCTCGTGTTGGCTCAGTGACATTTCGACTCGCATCAGGAGCTGCTAAATATACGCACAGAGCTTGGGCCCCAGACGTGGTGGCTTCAGAAGGAAGTCTGATGATCCGCGCTATCGCGGTTTTAGTTTGGCAAACAGTCTTCCTTCCATCGCGAGTCTTGACCACTCCCAATCGGGCTTAGTGGCCGGTGAAGCTAGCAACAAGTCGTCGCCGATGCGCATCTTAGTCTGTCTGAAGTTCTCATGATCCAATCAAGCCACTGCATATCCTGCGCAAGGGTGCCGTGTGCTAAGAGTCGCGCAAAGACAATGCTACTCCTTCATTTCAGCTCTTTTCGGCGGAGGTGGGCATAGGGCTGTGTTGAAACCAGCTGCAAAACATGACCCGATTGAGCATGCCGCCACCCAGGCAGAATAACAAATGGAATCCAGCCACATCAATGCTTCAACTTGCTTATTCCAACTTTTCTTTTTCCCCCTCCTTTTGTTCGCTTCTTGAAAATTTTCTGTCATCGTTCGCGTTTGTGAACTATCATTTCTGATTAAACCTTCTCCATCCCTCGACTATCTAAGACTGTGTCTCAACTCCACGAGAGATTCGGCTCCCGGCTCCCCACAATGTATCGCGAAATCCTCGGGCTGGCGTACCTCGCCGCGATCGCCTCCGCACAGTGCTACCTTCCCAACGGCACCAACCGGGCGAGCACATCGGACGTCGGCAAGAACACGTACAAGCCATGCGACGGCAACGGGCACAGCATGTGCTGCAACACGTACACGGGCGACGTGTGTCGGGACGGGTTCTGCTGGAACGAGAGCGGGAGGGTGCTGTGGCGCGAGAGCTGCACCGATCCGACGTGGCAGTCGCCGAAGTGCCTGAAGCTGTGCATCGACAGCTCAATCAGTAAGGAACCAGGTTTCGTGGGTGAAGGAGCGGCAGCTGACGGTGATTTTCTAGAAGTGAATGCGAATAGGACTCAGGCGCAGACGGATATCGTGGTGACGCAGTGCGCCGACGGGACATATTGTTGCGGGAACGCAGATCCGGCGAGGAAATGCTGCCAGGCGGGCAAGGGTGTGCGCGTTGTTAATGGCCAGGTCGTCGCGTCATCGTCAACAGCGTGGTCTGCTATAGCGTCGGCGACAACATCGGCTTCGACTGCGGACTCGACGGCTTCAGTTCAGACGACGACTGCCGATACATCTGCGGATACATCCGACTCCAGCCCGGATAGCAACCGAGCTGCTATCATAGGAGGTGCTGTAGGCGGGACGGTGGGCGTGTTGCTGCTCATTGGAGGCACCGTGGCGTTCATGTTGCACCGCAGGAAGCAGAAGACTACCGCCGAGGCCACCCATCTTGGTCTCGTCGGTGGTTCTGGGTCGAATGCTTCTGTGGCCGGGGGAGGAGATGGTGTTTACTTCAAGGAAATGTCGGCGGACCAGCAGCGGTTTGAGTTGTATGGTGGAACACCACCGGTAACTCCTGCTCCCTACCTTAGGTAAATGGGGAGCATTTGCATATCGGGGTTAGATATCGTAGTTATTCATTAAAGCGATGTTCAACATTCATATCATGATCATGACCACAGAGCTCGATCACAAGATCAGGGGGGTCAAGTCAGAGGGTGTGGCTGGGAAACAATATTCACCTGAGATCTCATGTGAAAGAGGTATCTGAGGCAGGTACTCCCAGCCTGCACCGTCCTCACTGCCTTCCTGGTATTGACAGAAAGGTTTGTTCTCTGACACTAAGATTTCACCTTTCCCTGACCCAGCTGTGTGAGAACTTCTCTTCGGCCAACCTACCTCCTTTTTTGTTTTTTGGCAAGACAGCCAGCCAAGGCAATGCCAAAAGAGCGTTCACCCACAACAAAGACCCCCCACCCCTCTGTTAACAGACATCGCAACCATCTTCTCACATACGCAACCCAACCGAAGCCAACGCTAAACGCTAGCTAAGATGGTTAAGATCACAGAGCTTCCGTGTGAGGTCATCACAGAGATCTTGGAGCAAGGTACTGCGCGCAGCATTGTCGCTGCAGCTCACTCATGCCGCTACATTCGCAACTGCTTCTTCGAGCGCCCCAGTCTTGCAGGCCGAGTAATTCTGCGGCAGATTCCTGAGCGGCTGCTTCCATATGCAGTTGCAGCGCTCTATGCTGATACCTTGCCAATCCCCCGAACAGAGGCAATGGTGCACGACCTCATCGACAAACTCTGTCCTGCTCTCATACCCGCTTCAATTTCCCTCGTCCGATTCCTTGGCCTTGGAAATCTCTCCAGGCTTGAGGACCGTCACAACATCATTCACGCCATGGCACTTGACTATGCCAACGAGGCCTGGGACTTTATGCAGACCACAAACATGCGTGTCCCAAGTCCTGGCACCCTTCAGCTGTCGGAAAACGAGTACCTCCGCTTCTGCCGGGCATTCTACCGCGTGGAAATCTTCCATTCCGTCGAACGCCCCAAGCCTGTTGGGCCTTTTCAGCCTCATGCCTGGAATGATGGCAAATATTACCTCGATGCTATCCCAGTGTATGATCGAGAACAGATTGCCTGCGTTCTGGAGTATCAAGAGAGGCTGCTCCTGAACAGTAGGTTGCTCTTGTTCAAAGTCCACAGAATTACTGGCGCTAACAGATCTGCATCAGGCGTGCAGGAGGTGCTCGCACACGATGTTGCGATGGGGCACATCGGCGTCAACTATGTGAGGGCCCACGACGATAGTGTTATTCAAAACTGGGTGAGTACTTTACATCATAAAAAGATTCACGATGTCGAATTTTTGCATACCTTGTCAAGACGCTACCTGTCTGCATACATTCTGGTCACTTGGATGCCAGCTAATGTTACGTCTCAGTTGGCCCTTGGATTGCGCTTTCTTGTCAAGATTACTGGCGACCTGTCCTATGATGAGAAGAAGCGGCTTCTGCACTCCAACTATGGCCCCGGCGAATTGATCGACCTTTGGAAATCAACCGATATGGCCCGCAACTGGCTTGACGTGGATGACAAGCTGGCGGATGATCCTTGGATCCGGAACAAAAAGGGAAAGCTTGTTCATGTTTTCAGACGCAGTGTGGACGCGATGGACCTGGATCGCGGCCCTCGGGAGGCCTTCTTGCGTTCAATTCTGGGCCCGACGCCGATCGACTTCATATCTTGCCATGGGCTGCGGGATCGCGCCTACGTGCTGTGGGACATGGATCGTCTCGTCCAGCTTGAGGCAGGTTGGACTCGGGCAGCACCCACTGGCTCACCGGATACCTTCCAAATCTTTGTGGACGAGCCGCAGCCGTCTCGCTTATCACTGTCTCTTCGGCAGGCGCCAGCGGACAAGGCTTTGGAGGAGTCATTCCAGGCTCGTAAGGAGATTTGGGACAAGGGAGGCTCTGGCTATTGGAGCGCCGACGACCTCAGCAAGGTTGTGTGGGGCGGAGAGAGATGGGCTCCCTACAAACTTCCTGAGGACTGGTGAATAGTAAATGTGGAAGTCTGGATTCATGCAAGGTGTTGCCAAGTTGGTGTAGAAGATGTTTGTGTAGTATCGACCCTACGGGTAGCTGCCTCATTTGAACAGTTAACAACACGCCCATGATGAACTCAGAGGACATGGCAGTTTTTCAGTAATTTACTTTGAAAGCCGGTAGTAGCAGGTTGGGAAACCAGTAGCAGAGAAAACGAGGCAGACGGATGCCGGAGGCGGACGACGGAAGCGGACAGCAGAGATAGCACAAGACGCCACGGGCAAGCTGCAAACCTCACAGACCGTGAAGTCTGCCGAGGGGGGAACAAACTTCGCTTCGATAAGTATTGACAAATCGTGCTGTCTAGGTCTCTCCTCCTCATCTTCACCCTTCTCCTTCGTCCGTCACCCGTATCGTGGTCGTGGTCGTTCCTGCCTCTTGGTGGGTTCGCACCTGCCTCAAGCAACCGCCAGATTTTCACCTTTGCTTCGGACTTGGGACCGACCCATCTCGAGCTTTTCTTCCCCCTTCTCCCACTTCGAGCAGAGAACGTGTGGAATCTCACTCCTGCCATCTACAAGCAGCGACGCCTTTTCGCTCGGGAGAGATATCCTGCCACAACATCGCGAAAGACTCTATTGTCAGCCCCTCGCCAGTTATTCCCTCTTAACTACAAGACGACGACGACGACCAAAAAAAAGCGCTAATCGTTCTGCCGAGACCTCTGCCTTCACATCTGATACGGGTTTCTCGTGATTGGCAATTCTCTTCCTCATCCCCACGCCGATCACGCGAAGGCTTTTCCTACTTGCGCGACGTTTGATTTGTGATTCCAAGCTCACGACAACCCAAACACCCTTCGGTCAGTTATCCGTTCGTATTCTTCTCCTTCACAACTGACAATACCAGAGACGACGGATAGACACAGTTGTGCTTGTCGGTATCGCTAGACTTTCACCTCCTGTTCGATCTTGCGTTCTGTCCGAAGAAAGGAACCCCCCGCCGCAACCAGGCAAACCTCTTTCCTACTCGCGATCGCAAGGCTTTCTGGGCTGCGATTTTGATTCTGCGACGGAAGCTCACACTCACACACCCATCTGTTACTCGTTTTCGACTTGCGACGACAAGCGACACTGTCAGACACGAAAAGACGACCCAGTCCACTGTCAGTCATCCGTCTGGTATCCCTCCCTCTCGTCACTGACAATATTAGCGACGATTACCAGAAAGCTACGTTCTCTTCGACGACAAGATGGCTTTCATTACCGACTTGCCTCGAGAGCTCATCGGCGCAATCGTGGCCGAGGTCAGCACACTTCAGGACCTCGACAACCTGATGAGAGCTTCGCGTTGCTTCCTCCAAGCCGTCCATGCGTGGCCAGCCATACCCCACATAGTTCTGCGCCGCCAACTCCTCATGGAAGTCCCTTCGGGCCTCATGGCCTACGCGATAGCTATCATTGAAGCCGGCAATTTGCCTCGCCCACGATCGTCCAAGCATGCGGGCAGGGCCATGTCGAGGGTCCTTTATCAAGTGGCCCACGACCCTGCTCACAGCTTAGACCTGGTCCCAACTATCTGTTTCGACTCTCTTATCAAAATAAGGGACAAACACAAGACTATTCTGAGTTTGGCAAACGCAATGGCACAAGATGCTTGGAAAATGCTCCGAGACGTGGATGGAGTGGTTTCAGGAAACTTGGTTCTATCGGGACGAGAGCAACATCGAATCACCAAAGCTATCTACGAAACGGAACTACTTTCGACGGTTTTTGGCGACGAGAGCTGGGAAACAGCAGACTTGGACGTCTTTTACGGTGCAGACGGAGATATTTATCTCGCATCTAAGGCCCCTTGGGAAATCGAGGCCATTGGCTGCGTCTTGGACTTCTTTGAGAAGAGACTGTTTGAGGGTAGGTGTTGACTACAAAAGCTTTTCACCAAAGACACAATTGCTAACAGCACGCCAATCTTGGACAGTTGCGCTTGACGTCTTCACTCACGATGTTGAATTTGGCTGGTCCAGTTTTGATTACGTACGTCGGGGAAGCGATAACGGAGACACGATGATGTTGGTGAGTCTCCAGCTTGCGCGCCGATGTGTTTGTTCAGCTCATCTTACAAAGGCATTCAACTAGGTCTCAGGTGGTGTGAACTTTGTTCACCAGCTATTTCAGGAACCTTCTTACCAAAAAAAGCGCGACATGCTTTGGACCAAGCACAATGACTCAGATGCAGTGCTAATTAGTATCATGCTTGCGGAGTTCTCCCGCTCCCCCCTCCGACAACCCAGTTCACAGCAGCTGGCGATCTGGTACAGAGAGGAATACCCGCAGGCTGGAGAGGATCTTGACGACAAAGGCCCTCAAATGGCCTTTGATCAGACTCTGCTGGGGCAGCCTCCATTCTTTCACCCAATCTACGCAGGACAGAGGGAGAGGGGCTATGTCTTTTGGGACGCCAACCGCCTCATGGCAAACAATCACAAACTCCTCAACCTCGTCAAGAGAACCCTGCCTACCACCAATCAGACCTGCCACCTGACTTCGCGCGGTATGGTTTATCAGGATAATACAGCAGCTCGTCTCTTGGCGATGGAAGCGAGCTGGGACGAGCGCGCCGCCATTTACGAGGAAGGCGGCAGAGGCTACTTGAAAGATGGGGACTATAACGGAATCCAGTGGACAGGAGAAAAGATGAAGAACTCGTATGGAGAGCAAGACGAAACCAGCGACGAAGATAGCGATGATGAGGAGTAGGGACGGCAGGCAGGGAGGTGCAGTGGCGGCTGAGGATGAACCAATACCCTCTTGGAGAACGATGCATCCCATGGTGGAGCGGAATGAGCGCATCTGACCGCCGTGATAATTTCACGGTTATTGTAGTATAATTATCGCGCAGGCAATTGATTCGCACACATATCGGCATGCTTTCGAACGCTTCGCTTGCAATATCATCTCGTGAACATGGAGGCGGACGTGGAGTAACACAGAACAACCACCCGCATTTCATCTCGCGACCGGGCCAAAACATCACCATATTATCATATGTCGTCAAACCCCCAGTGCATCATCACACGTATTCCCCAACATCGCTTCTGTAGGCTTAGTCATCACTGGCTCGATGATGCACGCGGTTCTTCTTAACCGGATGAGGGGGAAGATCTGAGGGCGTATCAACCCCGCGCCAGCCGGCGCTGGCGGCAAAGCCAAGAGGGCATCTCCTCATTCCTTCACCTCACCTGATTTGAAATCCACGTCATCACATAGGCCATCTTCAAATTCATGTCCCAAAAAACCGCGATGTCTTCAACGCAATCCGAGCGCGCGATGGAGGTGGCCCTCGCCATCCCGGAGCTGCTCGAGTCCATCCTGGTGCACCTGGACATGACCACGCTGCTCGTGTCTGCATCGCGCGTTAGCAAGTCGTGGAAGACGCTCATGGACGCGTCGCCGGCGATCCAGCAGGCGCTTTTCTTCAAACCGGTGGTGGTGGCCGCTGCGCCGTCGCGGGATCCTGACCATGATCTTGAGGACGACGACAAGGCGGCTGGTGGAGAAGAAAGAGATAGTGCTGCTGCTGCCGGGGCGAGGTGCAAGCGCGCCCGCCCCGTGATCAACCCGCTGCTGGCGAAAAAGTTCGACAAGTGCTTCTTCGACTTTGGGCAGACGTACTCGCTGCACCGGCGGGCGAACTCCTTCTACGAGATGCCGTGGTCGCGGCGGCCGATCCGCGCGGTCCAGGAGATCTGGGGAGGTTGGAGCCAGTTGCGCCCAGCAGACCTCGACGCTGAGACGGAGCAGTCCGAGAAGGAGTGCCGTCGGCGATTCACGCGTCGCGGCGCAAGCTGGCGGCGCATGCTCGTCTCGCAGCCGCCGCCGCCGTCGCTGGGGTACATCAAGTTTGACATCTCGGAGATGCCCACCGAGGGCCACAGGGTCTGGAGCGCGGCCTTGAAACCAGGATCCGACGAAGCTGGGCTGCGCATGGGCCAGCTGTTTGATCTCGTGCAGGACGAAGTCGGGCACCACGGGCGGCACTCGTTGTGGTTCCGGGTGCTCTGGGGCAAGCCGACGAGCAGCTTCGCGATCTCGCGCGTGAAGGAGACGTTTGAGCGGTTGATGGCGGAGACGCAGGTCGTGGTGGAGCTCATGCACGCGGACGACACGTCGCTGCCGAACCACCCGCAAGACCCGGCTGACGTGAGCGTGTTCGACGAGGCGTTCCGGTGTGACGAGCACACCGAGGTGAAGGTGCACACCGAGGAGGCGCTGGTATATCCCCCCGAGTTCCCCGAGTTCGACGGCCGCTTTGTCATTTGGCACTGGAAGCTGCTGGAGCACGAGCGCAACTCGGGCTAGGATTGCTGGGTTTGGTGAGCGTGGAAGTAATTTGCGGACTCGGGAAGTGGGGTGGCCATGGGCCGGTTCTCGGGCATTGTTTCCGTGGATCTTCGAACTTTCGAGACCCCTTCCATCTTGGCGACTGAAGAGAGTTTGTACTTTGTTTTTTCTTTGAGTTTGTTGGTATGGATTCGGGGGACTACGAGGTTGATTTTGCAGCGTTGCTTACGTTTCATATCATGTCATTTTGCGGATGGCGAGCATATGATGCCTACAGTGTATTTTATTAGCAGTCATGTTTGGCTTAGGGGGACGCGTGGCACTCGTGGCTGAGAGTGATTCGATCATGTGTGTAAAGTACAAGGCAAGGATAATGATTAAGTTGTGATGATCAGTCTCTTGGTGTTTTTAGAGATCCTCTCTAACAAACAAATGCCCAGGATAACCATTTTTCCTGCTGCTTTGTTGATGGGCCTTGTGCAGTGAGAGGCCTATCACGGGCGACATCAGACGATTACTGTGGCTCCTCACGATGTCTAGCCCCTGAACACATCATTTGACTCATGTGGTGGGTTTGCTTGTTGCTACCAATCCAATGGATGTTTCAATATTTTTTTCATGCATTAAATCCGCTTTTGTCTACTTCACACAGCCCCGTTACAGAATCAGCCTTAACCGACGCTACTTGCGCTCCATATCTTCCCCAAATTACCCCTTGATTGCGACCTTGGTCCCAAAATCGTGGTAGGCCTCGTCCTGTAAGCCGTATCGAATCGCTCCGCGTATCTCCTCGTTCCCACTCTTGTAGGTGCGCTTAGCAGGTCCAGACGTAGGTGCACTTGGTTCCCACGGGAGTGCAGCTGGTCTTTCCCTCGTTGCCCTCGCCGGAGAAGTGGCCGTTGTTGTTGCCGCAGACGAGCTGAGGGCTGGTGTACTGGGTGTCGACATCGCAGGTGAGGTCGCTCTTGCAGGTTCCGGAGAGGTTCCAGGTGTCGGCGGCCAGAGCCAGGGGGGCCAAGAGAGCGATGATGGTAGCGAACTGCATTGTTGCTGTTGTTGATGTGTAAAGTTGCGTTGAAAGATTGGTAGTTTATGGAACGAGGGACTGGAGTTGAGGTGCGTTGTCGATGATGGTCATTTCTTACCAAGGGGCGTTCGAGGCTAGCAGTATTTATAAATATTTCTCCTTTCACCAATTCTTACACATCCATCCTTAGCCCCTTGATGTTGTATCAGTCAGCGGCCTTGAGGCATACAGCATGTATCAAGGCGGTCTGGGGGATATCTGGGGCTTTACCGAGCCTGACTCGTAGCCGTAGATCATAACTTGGTCTGTAGTCGGAAGGCCCTGTCTGTACGTTTGTATTCAAAAAGTGGCAAGTAGAACGGCTCCTAAAGCCGCGGTCGAGTCATGGTATGGAGTCGTCTAATAAGGGAGTCGGTCGTGGGCCGACGGGATGCTTTGTGGGCACCTCGTTTTGCTCACTGTGCTAATCAGCTATTCGCGGCGAGGCGGTGCCGTGTCTCCGTCACAGCAGACGGAGTAGTCCGGGGGACGGGATGCGACAGCTTCGTACAACCTCTTAACGCGGTACGACAACTTCGTATAATCGGACTCATGGTTTTCCCGAAACTAGAATTTCTTGGATTAATGGCATTCGTACGAGGAAAAAGATAGATTCGCAAATAATATATTGCTCTCGGCAATGGGAGTCCTGGGTAGGCGTATTACACCCGAATTGCCCGCAAGATGAGACACAGTGTCTGCCCACTACTTCAAAATCGCAGGCTCGCAGGGCCTGGTAGGTGTGTACCGGTGTCGGTGTGTTCATGTGCTGGTCTGACTTCGTTGCAACCTTCGACAAAAGAGACGCAGAACAACAGCGCCCAGATGTTTTGTTACGAGATGTTTATCAAAGGTTGATATTCACTGTTTGAACTTTTATCCCAAACAATCTGCGCACTCTCAATGAACTGCACAACTCACTGTGAACAAGGAGTAGCATGACATGGAAGTAGTTATCGGTCGACATTCTAAAAAGAAATCTTGATTTGCAAACTCCAAGTAACTCAAAAGCTGTTCCGACCCGTCATTCATGTACTGATGTGTTCTCAATTACCTTGACAAGCTCTCAATCTAGCACATTAAGAAACCACCAGTAGCAGCCCCCTTGTGCGTCATGATACCACAATAGTAAACCTGGGGGTTTCCATCGTAGCTGATTTCGCCATCCTCGTAGTAGAAGACAACCCTCTCATCGCCCTGCTTGACATTGTTCTTTCCGCCGTCATACGGGCTTCCATTCATAAGTGGGAACTCATAACGGCTGTCGTCCGCGGGACAGTCCTTGGGAAAGTTGAGCTTAACCCCCTTGGAGTCGTCGTTGGGGAACGGGTGTGGGTATTGGTTTCCTAAAGTCATGTTAGGATACAGCCGGGAGAGATTGGATGACCGAGTAACGAAGTAAATAGAGGGGAAATGGAAGGAAAAGACAGATGATCAAAGAACTTACGGCCGCGAGTTTCGCCCACGAGGTGGAGGTTGGTGCCTCGTTGCGCAGCAAGGTAAATTTCATGCCCGCTGTAAGTCTTGTCTCCGCACTTGAATGAGCCAGAGGAATCGGGGCCATTATGAAGCTGGATTTTCAAGTCATCAGCATTGCGCTTCAGAGTCTCATCATATTGTGGAATCCCTTACGTTGATGGGCGCATTGGACGGAACTCGAGCCTCAAGCTCAGTTGGAAGGCCACTGGCCACACCGAGGAGGACGAGAACGGACGCGGAGATGGAGAATCTCATTTTGACGATGGTAAAATTTAAGAGTTAAAAGTTTTTTGTCCGTGAGAGGTAGATGAAAAGTAAGTAAAGTTGTGTTGGTTTGAGTTGTTGGTAATTATGATCAAGAACTTGGAGAGATGCTCGAAGGCTTTTATATTTAACTACTGCTATGCATCACCCTCTCTGCTTACACATTGTTCGGCAGACAATCGTCGATTGAAGCGCATAGGTAGGTCGCCCCGAAGTCTTCGTAACCCGAATAAAGATAGAAACATGAGAAAGCTGTCCGTGAGAGCTGAAAATGGTAACTTGACACGGCGCAGTAACAGGCACCGAACCCACAACTGCTGACCTTGGGCCAGGCAGTGTTAATCCTGAATCAAAGACATTCGTCGATCATATCGTCCATCGCTGACAGCTTTCAGCCAAGATGCAAGAGACTCTTGCCCTGAGAAAAGGTCGCTTCATCGCGATCCATATTCACCACAGAAACATCGCGAGGCTGAAAATGCTTCGCCCGGTGCCATGAATCCTATTTCTGGGCTCGATGAAACCTCGGGGCCTGATTGACGTTGATGGATCAGGCTGCACTGTAGATCTTTACCACTGTAACTCGAACTTTTTGTTGGCTACCTAAAAATCGACCCCAAACTTTCGGATTCCGCCTCCGTGTCTGAGCTGAGCCTTGTCAGCTAGCCCCCGCGTGTCTTTGAATAAATTGAACTAGGACCCCAATATTACTCAGAGTCGTCATTGTTTCCGTCCATGTATCATTGGTCAGAATGTCTTGGTGAACCGCAGGATGCCTTGTGACGTCAGTGAGGCCAAGTGACTCGGGGGGCGATAAATAGTGGGGCTGCGCCCGACCCATCGCAGCTGATTGAGAAACAACACAACAGTTATATCACAAACTCATACGTCTCGAGTACTGCCCGAAAGAACACTACAGCACAAACTTGTTCCTTTAATTCAAGAATATCACGAACCATCATGTCCGACAATTGGTTTTCTTCCAAGCTCGCCCCGGACGGCGACACCGAAGATGGATGCCATCCCCAAGAGGCGCAGGCGATGAAAGACTACCTGCACCAGAAGACAAATGCAGCAGAAGCCGCCCGAACCATCACCAACCCGGTCGCGAATGCCGAAAGCCCCAGAGAAGACCTCGTTCGCCTGTGGGGATTTCTTATGGACTCTCTCGTGGAACTACCAGCAGAACACGTCGAGCCACTGGTAGAGCTGCTCAAGGCAATCGAGAACCTCCCGGAGCCTGACTTCATTTGTCTAGACGAGAGCAAGCGGCCCTCTGGGAAGCTATGGAAGGGTCTACCAGGGTTTGGAAACCTATGGGCCGATTCATATCAATCTGGGAGCTGGAGGAAGGCTGCCGCGGCGGCTAAGGGGCCGGAGCGTGACGCGCTGCGAGACGCACATGTCAGGAAGGCAGAGATTGAGGCGCGGATGGTCGCGGCTGGCATCGGCGCCATCCCAATTGACTGGGGTTATGAGGTCGTCGCCGACGCCTTGGAGAGCAGCAACGCACTGCTTGATTTTGAGGTTCCAGCTGCGGCAAAGTGGCTGGCTATCTGCGGGCAGCGGTTCCGAAAGGGAGCGGAGGATGGCGAGGAGAGTTGGGCTTTGAAGCCACATGATACAGCATCGACTACCACCCCTTCCCGGGATCTCTCAAAGGCATCTTGGGACCAGAAGTTGAGTTTGGAACGATGGTCGTGGTGGGAAGGGCGTCTGATGGAGTTGCAGGGGGAGCAGGAGTAATTCAGGGTGCAGCGACGACGGCGCTCGGTGCCATGAGCAAGGTATCCCGTTCTCAATCGTGAAGGAGTTAGATGGTCATAGAGAATAAGCAGACGCAATAAGTGCAGGTCGGCTCTTGAGAGTCTATGCAGCACCATATCGCAATACCCCAGACCGACCAAGGCGATAGAGACAATGTCGAAAAGGAGGATTCGAAACCTACAGGGGTAGAGGTAGATAGCATAACCTGCTTTGATTTTCTGATAAGAGCACTCAATCGAAAATGGCAAGTGCTGTCATTGAGGAAAGTCAGGAGAGTGTTGAGCTTCCATGCTGAAGGAAAAAGAGCGAACGCGGCAAACAACAAACGACGAGGATTTCCTGCGCTTTCCTTCATGCATGGTTAGCAATCTATGCACCAACACTGGTAGTCTCATCCACTGATTATATCTTGTTTTTAAATGACAACAGCACGTCGTGGAGAACAAGCCATTGAAGTAGAATCGAATAGAATATTAGCATCAAGTTTCGCTTCAATCCATACTCCAGCAGTTATGTATATACGTGATCCCGGAAGCCACATGGCTCTGTTCACAAGCACATCATCGTATCACTTTGGTCAGACAAGAGAACCGATCCGAGGATTGATAAACAAATCCTTTTCCGCATTTGTTCGAGCCTGCTTCACTCTACGGCACACAACGAAATACGCAACGTCAACAATTGGTCGAGTTCCAGCGCTGCAGCTGCAGCATCACCTATGTGTACCCATGCAGTCATCTTGTACTATATTAGGAACCAATGAAATACAGACAATATCAAGTCAATTGGTTCCGCTGAAGCCTGATTGAGAAACCCACCCCATATCATTCTCTTCCTCCGTTTCTACCGACTGTATTCTTTACGCATCCCTTTCATTCTTCAGCCTCTTTCATTCAGGTTTGGATTACTCCTTAACCCGGTCTTTTGTTGCATGAGACGTCCGTTGTTCCCTTATAAGCCTACAACGCACAATGGATGAAGTACGGACATCCACTCAGTCCGACGACACTTTGAGATCAGACATCAGTAGCCTGAGCAGCCCATCAATCTGCGATGATTCGATAATTGAAGAGCAGACCGAGCTCTTCCAACACAGCAAAACCTCTGAGGTTGAAGAATCTCTGAAAGAAGGCTGGACCAAAGAGGACCACACGGCTTCTCACAGCCAATTACCAGCCGAAGAGAAGAACGACAATGTGTCGATTGAGACGTCGGAGCTGATCTTCGATGACACGGTCTTTCCTTTTCATCGCAGCAAGTGGGCAGCAATCGATTCGTTCAGCATCTGCATCCTAGGCGTCGGAACTTCCCTCATCATCGGTGTGCTCATCTTTCTGAGCTACATTTGGAACGGTTCCATGCGGGCCATGGCTGGAGATAACATGGAGGAATCCTTTTGGAGTCAAATCGTGTTCTCCGACTGGACCTCTAGGACTGTGACCGTCGCCGCTGCTATTCTACGTATCTGTCTCTCCCTTCAGATGGGTGTGTTCACTGCGATGATAGCGTCTCTCATGATTGAGAAGTCCGGCGTCCCCCTCAATGTCGCTCCGTCAATCGCTTTGCTAAGGGCAATGCCAGCATCACCATGGTCGCTATTCAGCTGGACAGCCCTTTCGAATCCAAGCCGCGATGGTATCATATACAAGATTGTCATTGGAATATCGGTGCTCTTGGCAATCACGTCTCAATTCGCATCGACAGCGCTGCTAACCGACTTTTCTATGGTTAACGTCACCGGTTCACGCACGACGTCCAAAATTTCGTACGCCGAAAAGCCGTACCTTGGTTACGTCATGAAGGCTTCTAAAGCGTGGAGTATGCAGCCGGGGACATACTCACGCTTTGCGGAGAAAACGGTAGATCTCAAAGAGTCGCGATCTGAATCAGGAATGGATTATGAAGACACTGGTCCCGTTACTCGCGCGATCATGCCCTTCTTCAGCGAGTCGCAACGAACGGGGTTACGAAGATATGATGGGCCCGCCGCCGTCCTCGATTCCAGAGTATTCTGCATGCTGCCTGTCGTCCGCAACCTCACGTTCGAGTTCCCATTCCGGCATCTTCTGGACACGACCGACACCTTTGGATACCATAGCGAGTTTCTAATACAGGGAGAATTTGGTTTAGAAGGTCCCTTCGCTCAGGTATCCAAGTCTCCCTGGTATCGCACCTGGTCTTTCAACTGTATAGTGTCCGCTGGCAAAACGGCCAAAACCGCAGCGCAGCAGAGACCAAAAGATGAACTAGAAAATTTCTCGATCTGTTCAATATTTTCCAACAATGCAGGCGAGCCTTTCCTCCCTGTCGATTTTGTCCATCGCTCTCCCCCGCCTACATCATTTTCCAATCTATTCCTCATGTTCAAGAGCACTGGCACCCAGGATCAATGGATTGAGGCGTTGCAAAACAATACATATGCTAATAAATCCGAGTCTCAAAATTACACATGGGCTGTGAATGCCGAAGACTGGAAAGGAAGTAATGACGGAATATGGGCAGTCATCCGTGCGCCTCAAGGTCTTGGCCGGGCCAAGAATCCAAGTAATGTTGGCATTTCGATGAGTGCGTGCTTTGCACATCTTGACGGTGATTTGAAGAACGTTAGCGTCTCCAGCAACGCCAATGGGGTTGAGGCACCTGGACGCCTAGAATTGGACAACGTCACGATCCGATACAACACGGATGCTATCCGAAAGCAGTACATATGGTCGAGCAACATGTCTGCTGATGCAAGGGGGATACTGACGCTCGACTCGCAAAAAGCCTTAGGGGAAGCTGTCCTTTCCTCGGCGACAACGTCTACGATATCTTTCCGCGGAGTTGCTGCAGGACTTCCTTTATTCAATACTCAGCCTTGTGCTGCTCTTCGAGTCGATGGGAACACATCACGCGCGGTACACTATGCTCATGCCGCCCTCTTCCAGGACGTCATGAAACAAACTGGAAGGCTTACGGAGGCCTTACAGGCGATATTAATGGTCACGCAGCAGATGGAATACTATGAGTGGTCTCGGAGCTTCACCCAGCGTGCGCCGGGCTCATACATAATAGCCGAGGGGAAGTCGATACCCGTGCGATATATAGGATTCAGCGTGGTAGTAAGCATCATCTGTATCCACTTCATTCTTCTCATAATCACGACGGCACTATTCCTATACTTTACGGAGTCAACATGTTTAGGAAACATTTGGATGTCTCTGAGTCAAGTTGTGTCCGTCGAGACCGCAGACATTATTCAGAGTTCGACGTATCGAATGGACAGCGAAATTAAGAAGGTCATCCAAGAAAGGACCCCGTCGGCAAGAGGACTAAGGATGAGGCACAGAGTCAGAGTGACGAAGAATGAGGAGAGTGGGAGGGACGAGTTATTGTCTTTCTGAGCCCCCGAAATCGTTGATTCCGGATTGTGTGTACCAACGAGGCAGATAACAAGATCTTGGACTATTTACCCTACTCGCCTCCTAGGTTCTACTTTCTACCAGTCTTCCGTAAATTGCTCCCGACCCCAGACAGCACCAACCGATGATCATCCTACCAAGGAGGGGAATACGATGGAGAAAATAGTCAAACTGCTATAGGCGCTGGCCAGGGCCAATACATATCGACGTATACTTCAGACTGGACCGCCTCGCCGACCACGTTGGAATTCGCACCCAGTTTTGCGACTCATGAGTTTGTCAGTGAGCCATTGCATGTCACCGCTGAGACATAAGAGGCATAGCAGGTTCCTTGGACAGAAAGAAAAACAACGTGAGAAATTTCAAGAGCTCGCTTATGTACAAAATATGCCGGAAAGATGTTCGCAGCCAGCCTCTATTTGCTGCTGCACTCCTCTCTGAAGACGCATTGGAATCCGTCGGCGGCGCAGCAGAAGTTAGGAGGCTTGCACTGTCCCTCTTTGCCTTGGGCATCCTTGCAGGCCACTGAGAAAAGTCAACATTGAACGTGTCTTTGCGGTGAATCTTTGGCACAGAACTTACTGGAGACCGACAAGATGGAGGCGAGGACAACGAGGACGGAACTCTTGAACTGCATGATGATTTGGAAAAAAGGGTCGCCGGGACGGAGAAAGTTAAGTAGAGCGGCTAGCGCGGTTGGTAGTTTGTTTATGTGGATGATTTGCTGGTTGGATTGATGATCTTCTGGAACAAGGTCGAAGAAAGCTGGCGACTTTTATATTCATTTCAACTCATCAAGCAACACTATGGATCATATTCCGGAGACTTTGAGGTCGTAGTAAGCTGTAAGCGACTGCTTAAGAGCAGGGGCGTGATGCAAACCTTAAGCTCCATTCCGATTTCATGGAACGAACGCTACGTGCTATCATGTCGGCCCCGAAGTCCGCGAGCGAGACCGAGCTGCATCCTATGGTTTAGAAGACTATATCTTCTTCGAATAATGAGGCGGTTTCATCCCGAAGGCAAGCTAGGCCGCCAATCTCCATTGATGTCCATGATATGGGTATGGGTTGGTTCATCTCTAACGGACAATAGCATGGGTGCGACGTCGTGTTCCCCCAGAACCAAGCGACCGGGCCCGGCTGAGAGTAAGGCGAAAGCTGAAAAAGCTACGGCGTCAAAACAACCGAATAAATGACCTTCAACAGGAGTACAGAGATCGGGTTCAAGTCCCGTAATAACGATGCACATGACAGATGGCACAGAATGAGTTTGCTTGGCTTACTTCCATCCAATTGCTGCGAAAGCTTTCGCCGCATCTTCTCGCTAACACTCAGTACAGGCACCTGGGCTCGCTTAGCTATCCGGAGCTATCCAGTGCCTAAACTTCCAGCAGTTGTTCGCAGGTAAACAGTTATTCAATCATGCTATTTTACACCAGGGCCTCCTGTGAGCTGTGCGCAACCTGACACACGTCACATCTATTTCCGCTGAACGGTGAGGCCGGATCCCCTGTCAATAGTGGGGCCTTACGCTATAATAACTCCCCGCATGGAGAACCAAGATCAACTCTATGCCGTGTCACTCGGCTGTCAACAAGAAGCTTTCACTGCAGCCAACTATTCGATGCCTTCGGGAATTATTATGTCCAGGTTCTCCGATAAAATTGAATCTTCTCCTATCCTTTTTACATGATATTGTTTTGGAAGAACGTCCGATACTTGATTCAAAGGCGGGCGTGCTGATTCATGACTCGATGAACCCCAGATCCATCTTTTCTATCCGCGAGGCATCTCTTGCGACTTCATACTCGCCAACTCCACCATCACAACAAGCCTGCATACCACGGATGATGCAAAGAACCTCATGATAACCCTGATAGCGTCGCCCGGTGACAGAAATAAGATGGATGAGAACCAACCGGTGCCCAAAATGATGTGAAACGCCGCAAAAAACGAGCCAACGCCGAACAGCACAGCCACCCACGGCTCAAATTGCGGTACCTCGACAACTTTCAACGACGGGTGTCGAAGTCCCGGGATGAGCTCTCGCAACATGAATTTCGACACTGACGTTCCGCTGTTCTGCCGTGAAAATGTTCCGGACGGGGAAGCCCACTCGGCCCGCGGCGGGAGCGGGGTCCACACCGTATCGTCGGGACCCTCCGGACCCGCGTCAACCCGATTGACAGGGGTTGTGCCCGTGCGGTTGCGGATATGCTTCGCGATCGCGGAGAATTGGAAAGGTATTGCGACGAGGAGGAAGATGAAGGTGACCGAGAGGACCCAGATGAGGGGGAAGAACCAGATGTTGCATTGGAAGCTCATGACGGTGTAGTCGCCAACGCGCACAGCCAGGTTGATGACATTGAATACCGCAGCCCCGATGAAGAGGTACTCCGCAATGCTGACGACCACGCCCCATCTTGAGCTGCGGATTCTGGGTATGAACCGTTCGCCCTGCACCATGGACAAGATGTCGGCTGGGGTTTCGATATGGAAAAGGCGATCGAGGCAGAAGGCCGTGCTGCCCAAGGCGATGAGTACGGCAAGGAGGGGACGACGGGCGGAAAGCAGTGTGAGTTGGGTCATCGAGGGACCCATCATTGATAGCATTGAAGGAAGGATGCCGAGGAAAATGGCAGCGGAGGCGATTTTTGCCTTGGTGGATTCGGAGGTTTCGGTGAGGATGCAGTCGAGATGGAGGTCGCAGGTTCGAGTATTCAGGTTGCGGTAGTCCGCGAGGTAGGCGTTGAGGGTCTCGTTGCAAACGCCAGCCGATATGTTTTGGAGTCTGGGGCCGAAGGTGCTGAACCAGTCCTGGAAGCGAACAGGGTTTCCCATTGCTAGTTGAGACATTGCTGTGTTCGTCTAAGGCAACGGCCTAAGAACATAATGAACGAGTGATAGAGAGCGACTGGAAGCCAATCAAGCATGGTATGCGATGGTTACACATTCTTATACAGGCGACAATGCATCTTGGCGAAGTAGTTAATTGAGGTGGTGAGGTCTCATTTCAGCTTCAGCTGACATCAAAAGTTCCTCGAATAATTAAACCTGCCGTGGATGTCAGCCTCGGCGTAGTCACCAGGGGCGATTACGAGCGATGAGTCTTGACTGCAACTATGGAGTGTGCTGTCATTCTTCAACGTCGGTTGGATAGGACGTTGCAATGACCTTGGGTGGTCGTGATGGAATTCTGATTGGGCCCGTCGTAGCTGCAACCCCGTTTGTAGAGACTCGGGCCATCCAAGTCTTACGTGCATGAGCTCGTAGACCGGGTACGGTAGCCACAAGCGATGACAAAGGCTCACCATAAATAGACCTGCTGCAGAGTCAGCTTTCGCTTGAGGATCAACTGCTTTCATAACTTAGCATTACCGGGAAATCTGAGCCGGGGAGGCTTGACCGTGTGGTTGAGAAGCCTGACGTGTCGCGTGCTGCGGGGACATAGGTCTGTGTCAAAGACTTTTATTCATCAATCTGTATCTACCAATTTGAGGGGTATCTGTCCTTTCCTCTCGTGCGAGATGCCATCTAGTACCAAACGCCAAAAGCCATTCTGAAGGATCCGTCGCCTCCCAAACCCAGAGTCTCTAGTCAAAGCCAATTATCATCAACGTCCGAGGCTATCATTCAAGCGTTCTCGTTGCGGGTGCCCCAGGCCTCGGTGCTCAGGGTGAGCCAAGAGTAGACGTCGACAACCGGGTAGCAGATGTCGAGGAGGATGGCAGCGCCAAGGTGGCCCTCGGCCCAGGGGTAGCGGCGAACAAAGTCGCGGTAAGTGGCCATCATGGACAAAAGGTACCACAGGCCGACGAAGTAGCTGGTAAAGTATGTCAGTACATGATCATGCTGGGAGACGTCGGTGGTACGTACGCGACGGGCGACTTCTGGTAAACGCCAACGATGAAGGCGATGATATGGACCCAAGCGATGATGGGGCGAAACAGGCGCTCGACGAGCTTGCGAGTCATGTAAGGATGATTCCTACGAAGTTATCAGTACAACATCATGGGTAGCGCGGGGGATGAGACGTACTTGTAGAGCTGGAGCAGACCAGGCTTGTAAACAACAGTCATCAGGAAGGACTGGATGGCGTTCCGCTGCCAGCGGACCATCTGACGCAGGAGGGCGCTGTCGCGCATGACCAGTGTGGTAATCTCCGCCTCGGGAGCATTCTGAATGGACATCTTCCATCCCTCGGTGAGCAGCCAGCGGGTGATGAAGACGTCGTCACCGGTGTTCTGACGCTTGCCGCACCAGTACTCGTGGGTGATCTCATACTGGAAACGAGGATCCTGGGCGATCTCGGCGCGCATCATGAGGGTGCGACCGACGAGGCAGAAGACGCTACCATCTGCGGCGAATCGGACAGCCTGGACATTGTTCTGGTTCTCGAGAGATCGAAGAGAGGCAACCTCCCAAGGGGTGATGACATTGGGGTTGCGGCGGGCCACGGGGATATGGGCACTGGAAACCTGATGAGAAAGGATGACAGAAGATTGAGAAGTGATTCAGACGTACCTCTGCTTGCCAACAGCACCTCCGACCTTGGGGTCCTCGAAGGGAGCCAGGAGGTGGGGAAGAACCTGGTACTTCCAGAAGGCATCGTCATCGACCAAGGCGAGAATCTTGCCTTTGGCGTGCTTGATGCCGACAAGAAGCTGCTCGCGCTTGTTGGCGACATCGGCAGTCATGAGACTGATGCGTTCATCTCCCTCAGTAACCACAGGGCGAACCAGGTCGTAGACGCGCTGGAGGTCGCGCTCAATTGTCACGATGATGATCTCCTTGGGCTGGTTTGCGAGCCACAGGCGAAGACAGTCCGTGAATTCGTCAGGAGTGTTGATTGTGGGAACAATGATGCTGACATCACCGCTGTTATAGGTAGGCTCATCGGGGAGAGGGATGGGTTTGTAATCCAGCGCGAGGCGCTTGGTCTTGTCCTCCTCGAAGAGATAGAACGTCCTGTGAACAAGCAAGTGAGTCTGGGGAAGGCGCGCCAGAAGGGGTGAGTGGAAACTGACCAGAACCCACCAAGAACGAAACTAGCGATAGTGACGACCATGATTGTGTTGGTGGATGTTGGTGTGCGTCTTTGTCTTGAGGTTGTGGTTTGTGAGTTGTATTGGAGAGATTTGTTTGTTGTGGTGGTTTGTAGGAGAAGAAGTTTTGGGTGGTGACTGCGACGTGAATTATTTTATTGAGAGAGTGGTGAGTCTGAAAATTCACCGCGTGGGGCAGGGTGAGGTGAAAGAAATCTCTGTTCAGACGGTTCTCACCTTTCAGGAAGGAGAGGCGCGCAAAGAGGAAGGAGCAAACCTGGTGCTACGAGTGAACAACTTAGATGTCGTAAATCTGTGTGAAAGGATGACAATTTTAGGTGAGTCTGATTAGGTTCCTTGCAGGTCTATAGTTCTGGGTGATTTTGTGATCGTCAAATCTTTGCTTGGATTTTGGATGGTTGGAAATTGTAATCATTACTTGGCTTTGACAGGTTGATCAAAATGAAGGCATCTACATTTTGACCCTGCAAGGCATTACTAGGTGTGGGAGTATTGGACATGATGCTGGAGCTTTCGGCCATGTTCAATTCTTTGTAACACTCAGGAAAATTGAGAGTTCTCCAATTGTGTTCTGGTAGAAATGAGTATGTTTATTGATAGACCAATTCTTGATTCCCAGTCGTCCATATTCCCAACATGTCCGCCCCAATCTCCTAAAGCGGGCCAGGTTTGAGCCTGCCTTTCCAAGTTTCCCATAGTCGGAAAGGCGATTCTGACCTGGTTATTGAGAGTTAGCTAGTTTCAAGGCGATCATCTCCAATTACGGTCGTCGAGGTGGAAGCCGCTCAGAGAGAACTCACCACTGAGGTTGCAATTCACCCGCCGGTGCCGTCTCCCCGATCCCAAACGCGGAAGGCCCTCGCAATCAACGCTGCTTCCTCCTGTCTCCTAGCAGCTCGCAAACGCCGCTGCAATCTCCTCCACTTCCAAACCACAGCGGCGGCCACCGGAACGATGAATAATCCAAATGTCTTGAGCTCATCGTCGCCAAGCTTTGGCACCAAATCTGCAAACTCTGCGCTGTGTGTTCTGAAAAGGCCGCCGATCCACTTGCAGACCGCCCGCTCTTTAAAAATATTAGAAGGTGTGAGATTCTCGAAATCGCTGCCTGGATAGGCAGGAAGGAAGATTTGCAGCAGCTGCATGAGGAGCAGGAGCTCTTTGACGGCAACTACCATGACGCTCTCCGCTTCGGATTGTGGGAGAACAGCGTCAGGCATCTCAGACCCAAGGCCGTAGAGCGTGATCATGAGGTCGAGTGCAAGTAGACCGATAGTCAAGCACTCCCATAGTTCGATTTGATGGTTGAGGTTTGTAATCAGAGGCATTTAATTTGGAAATGGCGTGGACGGAAGATGTCACCGAAAGCTTCACTTAACACTTGTGAAGATGCATGGGTATCAGCAATCAAGAAGCCTCGAGACGAGAATCAATGTGGCGGGCTGCTCTGTCAGAGATACGTAATATGTCGAAAATCATGAGCTCAGATGAAGTCGTGCGACATGCTCATGAGATTGGCGATCCACCACGATGCTGACTTGAAGCCCTTAGTAGGAAGACACTTCGAAGTTTATCAGTAACACTCAATCATGCACTCACAAGCCCCCGTCTCTCAGGTAAGACCCAATACAAGTAGGAAATGGCCACTGTAAGCTGAACAACCGCTAGGTGAGTCGCACGGGGAAGGTAGGCCTCTCATGGGAAAGTCTTTAAGCATGCGGTTTGTCGTTGGATGACCGAGATCAAAGAGACCCATCCAAGCTATTTGCCAAAGGGCTGACATTGGCTCCCATGTCTGAAAGTATTAGCAATTGCCTGTACTCTCCTCGACGCCATTATTCAACTGCGTTTCTCAGCTTTGCTTGCTACTGCTTCTGGAGATGATTTCTGTGCCCTCTCAGTTACAAAGTTTCTCGATGATTCGTGAGAGGGATTCCCTTTTCCTCTTTTTGTTGTTTTCACGCTATTTGTTCTTGTCCTCGTTGTCCTTATTGTTTGTTGCAGTCATTGTAGTCCTCATTTTCGTCGTCATCGCATTTGCATTGTCGTCATCCTTCACGTCCTTGTTATCGTCCATGTTAAGAGGATCCACGGGTGCTTCAGGATCGCTCCAACCTTTAGGTACCATGTACAAAGCTTCGTCGACACTGGATTCGTTTCCATAGATGGTTCTGGGGCAGAGTTCAGCAATCTAAACTGTAATTTAGCTTCAGCCTATGGAATTGATTTCCGCTATCAGGAGATGCTTCATACTCGATACAAAAAACAACTCGTCCCCGCTTCGTCGCATTCCAGTCACTCATTATTCAAGGTCGAGTTTTAAGCACTGCCGCCGCGACATCATGGATTTCTATCGGCAAGACCACAGATTCAAATCAATTCTTTGGGATGACTCCTTCCTCTTCTTCTACTACGATATTCAGCGGTATCGCCCTGGTGACGCAGAATACATTGACCGACTGATTGTGGACTACTTTCAACGCCAAGAACCCAGCATCACTTCGGGTCATGACCCCTCGTCTTGGGATAAACTGCTCTGTCATCTAATGCGATCATTAACATGTCTCTTAGGTATCACACCCGAAGTCTGCTATTCTAAATGACACGCTAACGCCAACCGGGCTCCAAAATCGACCCCGAACAAGATAGTAGGTTTGATTGGCTCTTGCACGAAGTAGGTGAACTAGGTCGTTCGCGGCCGTACGTCGACTGGCTGTCACTGGAGCCTATCATCTATAGGGGTCCCGGTGGTCCCGGAGCACGGTTGTCGAGGCTCATTTCGCACATGGACGCAGCATACGACGGCCCCAAAGGCCGGTTGGAGTGGTTCCATACATGGACCGGAAACCCGTTTCTTATGGAACTGGGATCTGCGCACGTTACCGGTCCTTGGACAGTACCGCTTCCAACGCAAGTAGATCGTCTCTTGACAATTGCCTGGAGATGCGAACCAAAAGCTCTTTTGTGCCAAAGGGCTTGCTGTCGATTCAAACCCACATCTGCTTTTCCGGTTGGCATCGAAATTTATGGACTCGGATCCGACGAAGCTTTTTGCCTCGTATTTGATCACACTGGGAATGGAGACGTGGCGGAGCTCAGACCGTCCCGTATCGCAAATCCCAGCAATCACAACTGCACAAACTTTTATCAATACCCTATCAAGAGACGCATGACCAACCTGGGAAAGCGTATCTTCACTGGCATGCTGTTCTGGGTGGACGAGATGTGCCGCACCGGGCGGTTACTATCTCTCTGCGATATTTTGGACCGCCGATTCGAACAGTGGCCTCTTTCCGATACGGAAGACACGCCGAGAGTGAATTATGAGCTTTGGGAAGCAATCAGGAACTTTGGCCTGCGACCCATTTCAACCAAAGGGGAAGTCTGGAGCGATGGGGTCGACACTCCTGCCACATCTGAGACTCTCTCGGTGACGGGTTAGCTCTGGGAAGGAACGTATCAGAACTGAAAAAGAACATTCAACATGTTTTTCTCATAGATAGCCGAGGCAGGGATTTGAATAAGTTATGTGTTCTTGAGATCTCAAACGCCCAGCTGTCTTCGTTGCACTCGAAGTATGTTCTCGTCACAAGATTGGGCTCCGGACCTGCCTATCGCGACAACAGGGTTGGCGAAGGTTCCCACCACAAAAACGCCCAAATACCTAGATACCTCTTCGGTCAGTGTAAATCCATCATACGTGTTCGTTGAGAAGTTTGTGGCAACATATGCACCTAGCCCTTCCTTCCTGGCGAGCATCGTCTCCTTCGTCTCCTTCCTGCTTCGTCTCGTTCCTGCTTCGTCTCCTTCCTGCTTCGTCTCCTTCCTGCTTCGTCTCCTTCCTGCTTCATCTCCTTCTTCCTTTGTCACTATCAATCGACAGAATATCCCTTGCCCAAAATGAGTTCCATCCGATGGAGTGACACGTTTCTCTTCTTGTACTGGGACATCAAACGCTACCGCCCAGAGCACGAGAAACGGGTAGACGTGCACATCAGAAACTTCCTCCAGGAGCTTGCTCCTTCCGCGTCCGAAGATCGCTCGCCTGACTCGTGGGACGATGTGCTTTACCGTCTCATGCGGTCGTTGAGATGCCACCTAGGTAAGTAAGCCAGCTTGAAGATTCTGACACAGGCGCATGCCAATGGAGGAAGGGGCTGATGCAATACAGGGTCCAACCTTTCCGCGACTCACAATTACACATGGCTCGATAGCATCAATCTTCCACGCAGTCCAGCAATGCCCCACGTTGACTGGTTCAACATTGAGAAATACTACGACTCCCACGAAGCGGAAACCGCCACCCAAGACGTGCTTGCCATCCTGGAGCAGATGGACGCCGCTGCCCACCGGGACGGCCCAAAATTCAACTGCTTCAACCCCATCTCATTGTGGTACCAGAACCCTTTCTTGTGCGAATTTTCGAACGCACATATGACCAATCCGTGGACGGTGCCCCTCCCTACGGACATGGAAACGATTGTGCGGCTCGTCATCCCGAATTTCAACGGTGACATTAGCAAGGCTGCGTCTGTACAAACCTTGATCACAGAATACGGCGGCCTCAAGTTGCATCTCTGTTTCGAGAAGGATCGGAGTGGCCTGCAGCCATGCGACGTAATCCGGCTGTCTCTCAACGGGTCAGAACTTTCTGTTATCAATGGCACGGCGATCAATCTGCTCAAGTATTGCTTCGCTACCGTATTGCGGTGGGTCGGGCGAATTTGCGCGGAAGGCAAGCCCCTCCCTGGTCCTGGCATTTCAAAGCTTCGATTGAAGAGGATTGAGGAAGGCGCATTCTACAGGCTGGGTATCGAGAAAGAGCTATGGGAGGCCGTGAGGGACTATGGGGTCCAGCGCGGACGGGCAGTCCAGAGATACAACCAGCGTCGCGCCGCGCTGTTAGAGGCAGCAGCACCCACCGAAAACGGAACCCGTGGAAGGACGAACGCGCTCAATGTATGGCCGGAGTATCCAAAGAAGTTCCGACCAAATCGATTGAATTATTAGCCTGCTTTTTTGTCTTTGGTAATCCTCATTACAAGTATCGCAGATGGCAGCCACGCCGGCCAGGAACATCACCTGCCAACTTCGTTTTCCTGTCCGAAGCTAGCTTTCAGCATCGAGAGAAAGTCAAAGGGTGTCTATCCTTTTTCCTTGTTCATACTTCCGTACACCAGGTTACGGCCTACAGGCACACCTTGTTGACTGCCGTATGACTCTGACGAAGACATTTACAAGGGCTAAACAGCATCACCTCTTATGTACGTCCATCCAGGGCAGCCCACCGCCATACTATGACTTGAAGTTTTATTGCCTACAGAGTACACCTTACTTTTTCAACCCACAGAAAGAGCATCGCTGGCAGCTCATGTGCTAAAGCCGACAATGAGGCGAGAACCGGGGCTGCCTAAGCTCAATTCGGTCCAGACACTCTGCCTCAACACAGACTCAGACCGGCCCCAAGGCAGCTTTACGACCATGTCTTTGGTGGATGGCAGCTGAGCACAAAAGGCTTGCAGAAGTACGGTGACACACTTGGGGTATCATACATGATGACGACAAAGACCGCAGAAAGCTATTCTTGGGGAGGTCCACGGCAAACGAATCGAGATCAAAGATTGCGGCGCGCCAAGTGATTGAGACCCCTCGCCGGTGTCAGAGCTCTTTCAACGATGCCATTTGTTGTTTTCTTTGCCTGCGCAAGGCTCAGCGATGCTTTGTGAAGGTTATGGAAGACAAGATACGCGTCATCAAGGTTCAGGAGAAGACGCCTGGTGAGCATGGCTTACGCGAAACGAAGCGCGCCATTGCTGCGGCGACAGTCGGGGCGGAGAACTAAATAACATCAAATGACGGGCTGGCGCGGGGCATCATCCGGCTGAGTAGGCTTTGCCTGCCTCTTCGAGTGCGCGAAGCTTCGTCATGTTGATCTAGGGAGCCTGGCCATTGGTTTCGTGCTATCGTCATGATGCTGCGGCTGGGAGCACCGCGAGGCGGTTGAGCAAAATCTTGTACACTGGACAGAACATGGCAAATGTCACGTCGGAAAGAAATGAAATGAATTTGTGAGGTCTGGCTCTGTTTGCTATCGACTACTGTCTATGGATCCGTGAATGTGATGAAGGAGTATTAAGGGTGATGTGTCCATAGGAAGAGAATGAGCCGAATGCAGTCTGCGTGTTCTTGGCGAAGGCTATGTGTCCGAGGCGAGAAGACATCCTGTGGTGACTCGTTTGAGGATGAAAAGGAAATGAAGAAAAGGAAAAGCAAAAGGTAAGGACGAAGCTGCGAAAATCCGATCGCCGTCCAGTCCACCGAGTCCAAAACGTCGCAGCATCCTTCTCTGGTCCTGCCAATTGCAGACGTCGAGCCTCGTGAAGTCGCAAGATTGAATGACAACGTATCCGGTGCCGTCGGCAGGCAAGTTTTGGCGGCAGAAGGCCACTCCGTGTGCAATGTCATAATGAGCTGCTGCTCCTCATAAGCCATGTCGGCATCGTGTATCGTGATTTGGGGAGCATTGTGAAGACTGGAACAACAATCAAAAAATTATCCGGACAAGAGTTTCAAAGTAAACAATTGTTGACTTACCCAAATGACTCCTGTGTTACAATCGCGCGTCCGTTGCGGTTGAAAGCTGTGTTGTTGTGGTAATGAGGCATGCCTGCCTGCAGAAAGATGGCGGAAGTTGGCATTGATGTTTGCCATATCCTTTTGGAAGCCACCGAAAGTTAGCCTGGGATGAAACCAGCTATGGAGGCATCTCTCTCAAGCAGATGAAGCCGGAGAATCAGCTCTGGCGTAATGCTGTATGAGATATTGATTCTTGCCAACCTCAATCTCCCTGACGGGGCAGATGAAGCGCTCGCTTAGTATGACCTGTGCCTCGGCTTCAATGGGGTCGATTTGGAAGGTTCCATTGCAAAAGTCGAGGGAATCATGCGAAGGAATGAAGTCCTTGATGCTTTTGGCAATCTTGGCCACGATGAAGCTTTCTTCCGGGTCGCATCGAGAGTGGAGTCGGCCGATATGCGGGAGAATGTTGTTGTCGTCGTCCCTGACAGAAGGACGGAAGAAGTCGTTCATCTCAGGGCTCTTTCCGCGAGCCCAGAAGTTGTAGATGATGTAGACGGCTCCCGGCATGCCGGTCTGTGGGTTGATTCGGACAACAACTCCGAATCTAGTCGCCGTCCACGGACCAGGCTTGGTAAATGCGTCCTTGTGAAGCTCGTTGTCCGGCGTCTTGTCATTTCCCTGGAAAGCCCAGAGGGAACCAACCTGGGCAAAAATGAATCTGTCGGGACGGGAACGAAACACATCAGCCTCTGTGGCAATCTCCATGTTGGGAGGAAGTCCTGGGTCTGAATTGCCGGGCCATTTGGCTTTCTGGAGGTCGATGCCGAGAATGCTGTGATGAAGAAAACCGCCCTGGCCATGGTTCTTGGGGTTGAATGCATGGGGCAGAAGGTATGAAGGGCCAGGGTCGATGCCATAAGCAGTGGTGACTCCGCCGTAAGTAGCCTGTCCGATGACCACGAAAGACTTGAAGATCATTTCCATCATCCAGTGCCACTCAGCTCTGCGGCCGGAATTGAAGAAGTTGGTTTCCAGGATCTTGCTCAGGCATTGTCTGGGACTGAGCTTGGGAACGGCTGTCTGGAAGTTCTTCATGTATCGCGCCTTGTTCCATTGGTAGAACCGGATCCGCTTGGACTGGTCCTTCCATCGCAGCTCGGCATGTTCCAGGATGTCAAGCGAAGTCCATTCCCAGTTGCGATCAATCTTGGCTGCGAAGATCTCGAAGTCTGCTTCCTCGCTCGTCTTCTCAGGCGACCGGACGCCCTGGAAACGTGTCGCAGCCGGCGGGGCGAGCGAAGTGACCTGGTGTTGAGCAACTGAAACGAGAGGCATGGCCGATGTGTTCCTTGTGTATATGTTAGGTGTTTGAGTGAGCGTGGATGAAAAGATGGAGAATCTTGCCTGATGGCTGATCGCGGAAGATGACGTAGGAAAGTCCAGCGATCGAAAATGTACGCTCGGTAGTTGACTCGGTGTCAAACAGCGTCGAGAAGTTTGCCTGACGAGCTGGACTAAAATAATATTCATCAGCTAGATTCGGAGATGACTCATGCAAGAAGGGAAGGAACCAACTTTTTGCTTTTGGTCCTGGGTGCAGGAGGAAGAAGCTCTTGGCACTCAAACTTTTGGTTTGAAAAAGAGAGAAGAAGGAAAGAAAAAAGGCAAGAACAGTGAGACTTCCAGGTGCCTGCTTAGACGTGGGTAAGGTGAATTTTGTGGGGCTGCCTTAGCGTTGTTCGCCCGTGGGGAATCACCGCCGGCAGTCCAGGGTGCTTCTTAGGTACCTACCCGGGAGGGGTGTGTACGACAGTGGGCGAAGGTTATGCCTCTATAGGTGGTTATGCTAGAATCAGGGTAGCGTGCTGGTAGTATAGTAAAAGTCAAAAACAACCTATTTTTTCACTTAATTTCCCTAGTTTTTTTTTTAGTTTTTTTTATTATCTAAACTGTGAGATTGCTTTTATATAGATTACTTAGTTAGGAGTAGATTACTCTATTTATAGGGTAAGAATAACGATAGAGGGAAGGAACGGATTGAGAAGGGCGCTAGTATTGAGAGCTAAGAATGGCCTGCGGTGAGTTCTGCCCGTTAGTCCCCTATGGCCCCTAAAAGCATAATGGAACAAGAATGACCCTACCTCTGTCCAGGAGAGGGGCTCCGCGTAGGTAGGTAAGCAGGGTTCCCAGCAGCGCCTGGGCCCAACGTCAGTACGTACCCGACCGCTGCAGCGAACGAGCAGCGGAATGCCGAGCGTACCGACCTAACAGCGTGGAAGTACCTCAAGAGATAAGAGCTTTTAACCCGCAACCCTCGTACGGCAAGGCACCTAGGACGAATGCCCACGCGATCAAAGGAGAAGTTAATGGGATCTGGCAGCGAGATCCTTTGGGTAATTTAGCTCTGGGTACGTAGGTAAATGAGAGAGTCGAAATTTCGGTCTTTGTCGAGACCTAGGTGGGTACGTATCCTGACGAACCCAGGCCTTGGGCTTGGGAGCTCAGCGTGGGGGTCCCTGTGGCCCACTGAAAAACCGCAGACGCGCGAGCCCGTACCTGAATGTAAGACAGGGCGACTTTGTACATGGAGCTGGCCTCAAAGAGGGATATTGAATTGATGCCAGCAATATCGGATAACGCAACCTTTCGTACATTGCATGTTTTCTACCACTTAATTGGGGCGGTAATGTGCTTTGCTCAGGGGCCGCGATGTACTCCTCATCCGTTGCTTACGTGACATGTTGATGCTGCTCAAACTTGACGCTTACGCAGGCCAAAGGCAGCTGCAGAGTCCTGCTCACCTACAGACTTCATCTGTTGGCATACCAGCAGCCGAGATTCTCTGAGAAATGAAATGCGGCTCAGGTAGAGTCCGCGAAGGGCGTGTTGCCCATGGCTCGTGCTTCGACGCGTCGGGCTCCCTCCCAATTCAAGTGCTTGCCTGAGGTGGAAGAACGTAACCAATTCACCTTGGCCGCAGGATTTTCACCCTGGCAGTGTTCTTCTGATTTTTCTCTCGTAGACCACTCACCATCTTGAAGCTTTTCCCTTCCTTCTCAACTCAACACAGGGGAGACGCACTTCCACTGCCTCACTGAGTGCAGCCATCTCAGGAGGGACCAGAACACACACAACAAACTGCTGAAGAGATCAACGAATACCACGGTCTTCTAGCAGGCCTCAAGTGCGACGTCTTCTATTTGATATTCTATTCTTCTCCCGCCGTTGTTACCGTCAAGGACACCCAGTCCTGATCAAACAAACACCCCATCTCGGACTGTACTACCCTTTCCACCACGTCGTCCCCCTTCTTCATCCCCCACGTTCTCGGCGTCGTCGTTTCATCTCTAGAATGGCAACCCCGGACAACAATGGTTCCGCCTCGGATGAAGGCAGCCCCCCCGAAGGCAGTCGCATATGTCCGTCGAGCG